CCATTCCTCCATCTCCCATCCCTTCATCCTCCATCCCTCCATCCCTCCATCTCTCCAGCCTCCATCCTCCTCTTCCTAGGGAGCTTGAGAGTGTCTGGCAGGGCAGAGCAGACCCTGGGAAACCCAGCCCTGGAGTGAGGCTCCCCTCCACACTGTGAATGGGGTGTGGCTAGGGCTTTGTCTCCTCTGAGTCACCTCCATGCTGTGGTGGGCTTGACTCAGACAGAGAGTGAGAAGGAGAACTTGGTTGGCCCTCCTGGTTTCCATGGGTCCTGAGCCTGGCCTGAGTGGGACTGGGTGGGGCGGGAGGACAGGGAGAGGCCCACACTGAGGAAGATGTTAGAACTACACATTGGGAGGACTGACATGGATCTCAGGTCCCCGGGAGCATCTAAACCTCACAGTTTCTGCTCTGGGACAGTAAGGACTGGAAGCTGCTGGGTGTGGCAGGGGGAGGAGTCTGACTCTGTTCTTACCTCCTCCCCTCCCTGAATTTCAGACTCTTCACCTTACACCAAGGGGGTGAGGTCCAAATCCCCTCCAGCCAACTTCCAGCCTGAGTGCCAAGGCCAGGCTTTACCTAATGACCATGGGAACTGGAAGAGAAGAAAAAGAGCCAGGCGCGGTGGCTCATGCCTGTAATCCTAGCACTTTGGGAGGCCGAGGCGGGTGAATCACTTGAGGCCAGGAGTTCAAGATCAACCTGGCCAACATGGTGAAACCCTCTGTCTAGTAAAAATACCAAAAATTAGCCAGGTGTGGTGGCATGCACCTGTAACCTCAGCTACTCAGGAAGCTGAGGCAGGAGAATCACTTGAACCCAGGAGGTGGAGGCTGCAGTGAGCTGAGATCATTCCACTGCACTCTCACCTGGGTGACAGAGCAAGACTCTGTCTCAGAAAAAAAAGAAGAAGAAGAACGAGCAAGAGCTACCCTTATCTGAGCACTTACTGCATGCTAGGGACTGGCTGATTGTTCCATATGCATGATCTCATTTAGTCCTCATGATTGCCTTCCAGAAACCCATTTTGCAGATGGGAAAACTGAGGCTCAGAAGAACAATGACTTGCCACAGGGCACACTCTGGGCTAGCTGGTGAGCTGGGGGTCCCAGGTCTCTTGACCCCCAAATCCTCATCCTTGACCGCTTGCTCCCAAAGTTACTCTGTTTCCCCTCATCACCTGCACCCCAAGATGCTCAATGTGGTGTCTTCTGACTCTGAGAGGGTCAACCAAGGAAGCCAGCCAGGGCCACTGGTCTCTGACCCCTCTTGCTTGTTGACAGCCCCTGGGGGCTGTACTGTGACTACAGCCACCCCAGACCATCTCTCCTCAAAACCCTCAGTCAGACAGCTCTGGAGGAGGCATTTGGCTTTCCTTTTATGGTTTTTCTTTTCTTTTAACTTCTCTGCAACAAATATAGAAAATACAGATAAGCACAGGAAAAAGCAAGAGAATCACATTCCTTATCGTCTTCATTAGAATAGTAATATTTGGGTGCATTTCATTCCAGTATTTTTCTTTTATGCACATGCATTGCCAGTTTTGTTTTTATGAAAACAGGATTGTTTGTCAACAGACGTTTCCTGAGTACCCACTGCGGGTGGGGAGTTGTGCTCCGTCCATCAGCGACAGCTCCTCCTCTCCCCTTGCAACAGGTTCTTCCCTGAGAAGGGCTCCCGTTGCTGGGGTGGGCAAGATGGGCACCAGGAGAATGGGGCTTTGCAGCCTCGCAATTCAGAGCCAAGCTTTGGAGAAGGGAGATCTGGGCTGCTGGCTGTGCGGCCGTGGGGGTGCCGCTTGACACCTCGGAGCTGTGGCTTCCTTTTCCGCGGAGTGAGAGTCACAGCACTTGTCACACAACAGGTTTTGAAAATTAAATGGCCAAGTGAACGGGAAGGGTTTGGCGCCAAGTCGGCGCTCGGTGAGTGTCTCGTGGGCTCTCTGCGGGCCTCAGGAGACCTCTGTGTCGAGGGCGTTTTGCTTCCCGGTGCTCTCAGGGAGCAATGCTGGACCCAGGACTTGGGAGACACCTCATGACAGTTCAGTGATTCAAAGCTTGACTGTTGGCTGGAGGCAGGGCCTGGAAAACCTCTCATCACCCTGCGGTGTTTCCAGAAAACACAGGCTCTGGCGCAGTCATCTTCCTTCCCGTGGGTTCCTAATATGGGTGTGATTTGCAACCGAAAAACCAAAGCCAGCTTCACAGCTGAGGACCACGAGCTCATCTCTCTTTGGGTTGTGTCCCAGCTCCCTGAGCCCTGGGGCTGATAATGGCGGCGGAGGAGAGTCAGGACAGAAGGGGACCTGCAGAGGACAGAGGTGGGGCGTGGACTCGGATGAAGACTCAGGCGAGCTGCGGGGCCCCGTGGCACTCGGCCCTCCACAGGTGCTCAGTACAAGTTTGCTGAGTGAACAAATGCGTGAATGAGGAAGCCGGCTGAGGCGTGTGCATTGGGAGAATGGGAGGAAAGAAGCCTTCATCTTTTCTGCCCATATTTCAAACCCCTGTGCCTGCCACAGAGCCTAGGGGCACCCAAAGGGCTCAGCAGAGAGGAGAGGAACAAGCCCCCTTGCTGGTGGCTGCCCTCAGTCTCAGATGCCACTCTGTGACCCTGCCCTGGGCTCTGACCACCTCATTCGCCTGCAGCACCCCCCATGCCCTCTTAGGTCTCCCAGCTCCCATCTTTCCCAGGGAGCTGAGCAGGTACCACACTGCGTGCTTGACTCTGGAGGATGGCGCGCTCCTGGTGGACTTCCCAGCATGCAGGGAAGACATTCTAGAAGCCATCTTGCAGGCAAGCAACTGCTCCACCCAGGGATGAAGCCGCCACGGGCCTGTGTCAAAGCCAGGAGCCTAGCCAACCATCCCCACTGGCTCAGCTGCCTGGTGGCAGGAGGCAGCTGGCTCTGGGAAGGACCCAGAAAGCAGAGGAAGAAGGGGCTGGGGGGCTGCATGTACTGGAGCCACTGTGGGGTCCTGGGAAGTGGCCTCTCCCCTGACTCTGAAATGAGGGGGCTGAGCCACAGGCCTTCGGAAGGGCCCCCAGACCTCTACCCCGCTGAGGCACAGCCATGGGTTTTGGAGGGCAGAGAGTGCAGAGGAGGCTCCCAGCTGGAGGCGGTGGGAACCCCGTGGGGAGCAGTGGGCAGAAGCTGGACTTAAGAGGCAGGGCTGGCCCTCACTAGGGAAAGGAGGAAAGTGAGTAACGGTGACAATAATATGACAACTTCCATGACTGAGCACAGTGAGCTGGAAACTTCTCTCAAATGATCTCCTTTCATCTGCAAGACCACCTTTTGCATGGCAGGCAGCAAAGGCCAGGGCATCTGGAGTCGGGTGGGCAGGGTTCATGCCAAGCCTCACACCCTCGCCTCCCACTAGGGATCCTCAGAGCCTCTACCCTAGAGGGTGATTGGGACGTGTCAGAGAGGAGGCACTTGAAAGAGTGTCTCGCAGAAAAATGGGGCTCACATCATGTGATTATTATTAGTATTATCAATGCAGAGAGGGAACCTCAGAGAGGTGAAGTCACTTGCCCAGGGCCACACAGCAAGTAAGTGGTGGGGCCAGCATTTGATTTCAGAATGTCCCATTCAAAACAAACAAAAAAGGACCAAACAAAAAGGGGTATTGGTCCTTCCCCAATACCCCTGGCTTGGCTTCTATCTTATATCCCTTCTGGTCCCTCAGAAGGACAAAGCAGTTAAAACCACAGATGGCAGAGAATTGCCCTTAGGTCACATCCATTTCAGAGGAGAGGGACTTGCCAGAAGTCACACAGATAGGCCCGGCCAGGACGGAGCTCTCAATGGGCAGACTCTCACGCCAGAGCCCCACAAGTGTATCTGTGGAACCTGACAACAAGGTCACCCCCTTTCTGGCCCCCTGTTCCGCTACCACCTCCCATGGGGCACGGGAAGTGATGGCTGAGATCCATTTCAAACCACAGGGGAAATTTTTTGTCTGGGCTATACTGGAATCCAGCCAGGGCTTCAGGTCAGAGGATCTCAGTCATATGCAAAAGGCAGGGGATGTAGAATGGGCTGGGGAGGGGGCATTGCATTCCCACAACTACTTGGCCTTGGGATTCCCCTCGCCTGATCGGGCAGCTCTGAGCTAGGCAGGCTTCCGAGCCTCCATCCCAGACCTGACTGCCCAGATCTTCCTGAGGTCATGGTTGAGTCAGGCCCTGGGTCATCTCAGCTCCACCTCTGATCAGAGCTGAGTGCTGGGTGAGGCACGGCAGACCAGCCTCCCCTGCTGGCTCTGCACACTTGCTGTGGGACCCTGGACAGGTCTCTCATCCTCAAAATCATCCACTCCCCACTATCTCAGAAACCTTCCCAAACTTCCCTTCTGGGATTTCCAGGGAAGCTCATCACAAGCACTTCTGCTTCTTCAGGACCAGCCTCCTGAACCCCAGCACCAAAAGAAAAGCCAAAGACCATTTTTAAAATGTTTTATTTTAAGCAGAGCGGGTGCCTGTGGCTTCTTTCTTGTCCACCCTCCTAGCGAGCATGAGGATGCAATGAGCTTGGAGGAGAAATCTTTGCTCTGTAAACTGTAAAGGGCTGGAAAAGAACTGCAGACCATTCCTGCTTAGGCTGGAAGCTTCTGGAGGACAGCTGTTGGCCCCCTGCCGAGGCCTAACAGAGCACTGACACTCAGGGCTTTCCTGGGAGCAGCTTGGCTGGCAATGGGCAGTGTCCAAGTCTACAGCACACAGTGTGCCCCTGTCCCTGAGGCTGACAAGACTGAACCATAAGGCAAGGGTTAGATCAAAGCAGGAATCAAATCTGGCTGGCACAGGTATGAATAGTCCCAGACAGACCAGAGCTGATTTCCAGGGCCCTCGATAAATTTATTATTATTTTTTTGAGACAGGGTCTGAGCTCTGTTGCCCAGGCTGGAGTGCGGTGGTGCAATCATGGCTCACTGCAGCCTCGACCTCCTGGGCTCAAACCACCCACCCGCCTCAGCCTCCCAAAGTGCTGGAATCCCAGGTGTGAGCCACTGTGCCTGGCCTGTTATTATTATTATGATTATGAATATTATTTGGTGACCATGGTGGGGGCTACTGGGCGGAGAACCACGAGTCAGGATGCTAGCCCCTGCTTTAGCGTGGCCTCCCTGGGAGGCCTTGGACAAGTCCCATGCCCTTGCTGCGCCTCAGCTTTCCACTCTGTACAATGGGGGGATGCCTATGATTCTGGGGCCAGGGCAGAAATTTGGAAATGGGCAGAGCAGGACCTCAAGTTTTCAGTGAATTTCTGACTTTCAGCTTGGAGACAGGCAGCTCTGGCCTTGGTGGAGATGGTTCTCCCCGCGTCTGTGTTTCAGAAGATGGGCTGGGAGTGAGGGTGCTCAGCCGCAGTCTCCCATCCTTCCCAACATGCCTGAGCCTCCAGGTTCTGCCCCGCCCAGTCAAGCAGAGTTCCCCTCCCCAATCCCCCACTGAGTTGCTGTGTGACCTTGGCTAAGTCATTCTACTCTCTGGCTTCCATTTGGGGTAACAGAGTCACAAAGGCCTCAGCAAAGGGCAGCCTGTCCTGGCCACCCGCTCCCCTCCCTTTGGCCACCTATCATCACTCCTCTTGTAGAACCACTGAACTGGGAGAACCTTGGGGGATGGTGGAGGCCAAGTGTCCAGTTTCACAGGTGAGGAAACTGAGGCCCTGAAAGGTCTGCTCAGGACCAGCCATCTCCAATCCTCATGTCCTGTTTCTCTGCAGCATCGCTCTGTAGTAATAAAGAACGCACCCAAATGATGGCAGCCTGCAGCTGGAGCTCCTGCCGACTTCCAAATCCCCAGGCTTCCACATTCCCAGCCTTCTTTGAGCCCCCGTGTCCTTGTCTGTGGAACCGGGATAGCAGCAGACTCTGCTCACAGGCAGGATAAGACCTGGAGGGAGGAGGAGGGCATGAGAAGCATTCTGAGGACACCAGTGTCCAGGGTGGCTCTCATTCTCCCCACTCCCCCGAGGCCCCATGCAGCAGCCCAGCCTCTCTCCTGCCATCCTCTGGCTTCCTGACCTCGGTTTCCCCCTGGCGCCTCCCTGGCCCGTGCTGCCTCTTGCTAGGCCTCTGAGGCAACCAGGAGAGCCCCACGGAGGAGGCAGCAGTGATGTCAGGTGGTGGGCACTGAAGCCCAAGCCCCTCAGCGGTCCTCAGAGCATTTGATGTTAGAAGGGAGTATTTGTTTCCAAGGCCAGCTACACTACTGCTTGGTGTGCCCCTGCTCCTCTGCACGATTCCTACCTGGCGTGGTTGCTGCTGTGGCCTCTTCCGTGCTCATCTATCCTTTCCCCGCTTGCTGGCCTGGCTGCACCCCAACCACTGCATTGCCCCTGTTGGTGTGGCTGCTGCAGTTACTATAGCCCTTATACAGGCAGAAAGGGCAGCGCCTTTGCTGGCATGGCTGCTCTGTGGTCAGATAAGCTGCTCCCCACCCACCCTGGCATGGCCACTGGGAAGCACACTGTGGTCCACTGATGGCCTCTGCTGCCAGGATCCAGGTCCGAGGCCACAGCTGTCTGCATCAATGGCAGTGCTCGAGGCACTCACTGGACATCTCTAGACAGCGGTTACTGTTCGTTCAATGGGGGCAGCCCAGCTTCACTCTGAAGTCCATCACTCAAGGGACCCCAACTCCTCCAAGGCCCTGGACCCCCATGACTCTCTGTGCCCATCTCTCTCTGGCCCTGCTGATCTTTCGATTCCCAAGGATGGAGCTGAGTGGTCCTTTCTCATGGGACTTCAGGGTAGCAGGGAGTGGCAGCAGGACAGGGGACTCTCCTCCCTGCTCCCATAATGCTCCGAGGCCATCACAAATAGCCCAGGATCTCCAATAGCGCATGGCCCTGCTGCCCTGGGAGAGTAAGCTCCTCTGAGAGCCTCCCGTCTCCCCTAAACCCTCATCAGGCAGCAGGTTCAAGGCCTGTGTTCTTCAGGGGTCATCAAAGGGGTTTCTGTATAATGACAGAGAAACTTCTGGAAAATTTTCATCGTCACTGCTGCTCCAGCCTTCTCCCAGCTTCTGACCACCTTGCTGGTGCTTATTCACGAACCTTGGGGGCCTACCGTGTGCCAGGGTCTGTGCTTGCCGTGGGGATGGGGCAATGGGAGGCCAGACCCATCTCTACCCTGGGGACACCCACAGTCTGGGTGAGGACACAGGCGGAAACAGTGATTTAGCTGCCGTGGTAGTGAGTACGCAGAGACTCCGTGTGTCACCAGGGTACCTGACAGACACAATCCTGGAGAGCTCCTGGAGGAAGTGACCGTCAAGCCCATCTCTGAGCCTTGGGGAGGATATAGTTAGGCACGTGGGGAAGGGTCAGTGCTTCAGGCAGGGGAACAGCATGTGCAAAGTGTCACATGGCCTAGGTTTGAATCTCACTTTGCTACTTACTAACTATGAGACAATGTATAAATTACTTGACCCCCTCCCCATCCCTCAGTTTTTTCATCTGTAAAATGGGAATATTACGTTACATGAATGGGCCTGCTGAATCCCAGCAACACTTTGCAAAGCTGTTGGGATTCAATGCGACCATTCATGGAAAGCACTTAGCACACAATAAATACTCAATAAATCTTAGCACGAGTCTCACCTACTGAGCATCTGCTGTGTGTTCCGCAGTTCATCTTCACACAGATCTGTAAAGCTTGGGCCCACTACTCCATTTCATAGATAAGAAGACTGAGGGTTAGAGGACTGAGTCGCTAAGGTGGAGATCGATTGAGGTTTTGGAGGAATCAGGGAGGCTTCTTGGAGGAGGCGGTGGCTGAGCTGGGTGTTGAGAATGGGCACCCCCCGCCCCCCACCAGTCAAGCAGCCTCACCCTAAGCAGAGTATTTCAGCCTCAGGGGCTCCATTGGCCCCAGGCTCCCTGGGTCTGGGGATGGAACAAAAGGGCTGCCCTGGGCACTCCCAAGGCCTCCCAGGAGTCCCAGCAGGGAAGGCCCCATCAGGCCAGGTTCTCAGGCTACAGAGCCTCCAGTGAGCATCAAACAACAAAAAGGCTTTTCTCACTCTGGATGAGTCACCAGAGCGAGCAGACACCCCGTCCCTGTGCTGAAGGAGATGAAACCACACATCTGAAGAAGTTTCCCACGGCCACCACTTGCTTTAAATAGCTGCAGAGAGAAGTGGAGGAGGGAGGGAAGGGTAGAGGGGGTAGGGAAGCAGGGCTGTCCAGACCAGGCCCTGGCTGGGGTCTCCCCCATACCCCAGGACCCTGACACGCACCCCTTGAAGCAGGTTGTTGATGAGAACTCAGGCCCCATGGGTGCCAGGGGAGCCCAGCAGAGGCCCAGAGCCCACGGTGGGCCAGGGCCCAGCAGACAGATAGGCGGACAGCGGGAGACACATCCAGCTTGGCCATAGGGTGCACACCCCTGTGTCAGGGTTCAGGCCCGGGAAGGGGGAAGTTGACCTCACTGTGCACCCCGGTACAGCCTCTAGGCCCCCAGCCAAGCTTCCTCGCAGGTCACCTGACACCCCTGAGTGCTCCGACTGCGCCCCCCTGCCTGGCTAGGTTCGTGACTGAGCCCTGGGCGGCATTTCCGGAGGCAGGCCGGGAGCTGGGGCTGCTGACGCACTTGCCGTCCCCCTCAAGCAGGGCTGGGTGAGAAGAGAGCCCCCCATCCCCCCTTCCCGTAAATGAGCTCACCCCTACCCCAGGGCCTCGCAGGGATTCTAAGAAGTGGAAGCCAGGCACCTGCTCCTCGCCCACAGCAGGGGGTGGGGTGGGCTAGGAGGGGGAGGGGCAAGGGAGAGGCTGGGGTCCTCATAACCCCTCAGCTCAACCCTCAGGCCTAAGCCAGGGTTCGGGGCGGCCCCAGGGGCTGGCAAACTTCTTTCCCTTAGGTGTGGAAGAACGCCCTCTCCGTTCTCCATGTGAGACCAGTGCGGTTCACGATGCCTCCGTGGCCTGGGGCCATTTTTCAGAAGGCAAACTGAGGGAATCCCAGAGACGCCTTGGAGGCCAGTCTGGTTCCCTCCCAGGCTGGGAGTAAGATCACCTCCTGGCTGTTCAGGCAGCCCTTGGTGACCATCAGTGGCTCACTAAATATCTGCCTTTAGAGACCCTCCAAGCCAAGGCCCAGGGAGGGCAGTGATTTGTCCAAGGTCACACAGCAGGCCAGGGGAGGTCCAGGCGTACCTCTAGGTGGGTCCGTACCCTGGCCAACCCACCAGTACTGCCAACAAACATTCATCTGGCATCTATTGGATCCTTTGCAGGGACATGGGATTAAATAAGACAGCATCCCGCTGAGAGGGTCCAAAAAATAATCATGAGCAGTCGCCAGAGCCTGGGCCAGGGGCTCTCAGTTCTGCCTTTTCATCTAGGTCTCCCGGCTTTGAAAAAATACAGATTCCAGGGCTCCAGCCCTGAGATTAGGATTCAGCAGACTGGAAAGGAGCCCAGGAACCTGCATTTTATAAAGTTCCTCAAGTTGATCTGATGGATTGAGAAGCTCGGAACAGACTGTAAGCAACTTGAGGGCAGGGGCTGCCCCAAAGGAGGGGGAGGAGGTTTCCAAGGGCTTCCAGCGGGAGGCGCACACCACAGCCTTCCCGTCCCGCACCAACCTCTGCCTATACACAGGGCCCAGCCCAAAGAGGCCTCCAGGAACGAGGCACAGCTGAGAATAGTTCCAAGAGGCTGAATGATGGCTCCCACTTCTCTCTGCTGTCCCCATCCCCGAGTTCACATGCAGGACGGGGTGGCCATTCTCCAGGCAGCCAAGGAGGTGGGCGATCCCGCTGTGGACGGCTCTGCCTGGTGTTAGGGGCCTGGCCTGTGCCCTCCGTCCCCGTCTGCCCCCTCCTTGAGGTCCCTGCGGCCCAGGCTAGGTGATTCCAGGCCTCTGTAGGCTGCAGGTCCTGGGGTAAGGGTGTCTCTTGTCTGTCCAGAGACTGTGAGGCTGGGAAAGGCGGGGGTGCTAGGGCCTGCAGCTAAGGTGTATGCTGGCTCTTTTCCTGGCACTCAAGGAGTTTGGTGCTCCCGGGCCTGGTAGCATGGGAAGCAACGTGGAGGCCCTGGGCTGGACTGTCCCTGTGTGTCTGGCACAGCCTCCAGCCAGGACCAGGCTCAGTGAGGACTCATGGACCGACTGATCTGGGGATGTGGGTGGCAGGAGCTGCCCCCTCCCTATCTCTAACCCTTGTGGCTGAGAGGGCCTGGTCCTGCACGCAGTGCCCAGCTTGGCCACCTCACAAGGCCACTGTCCTCTCAGTCTCTGCGTCTGCTTCTGTGCAATGGGCAGCAGGGTTGGGAAGAGATAGGCTTGTCCAGGGCCACAGTGGGGCAACAGGGAGTAGCCAGGCCCCTCAGTAGGCCTGCTCCTGGCCCCAGGGGCCACATCCCCACAGTCTCCACTTGTGCAGAGGGCGGGGGAGACAGAAGTCACCAAGAGGAAGCAGAGAGCCCTCCCCAGACCCATCTGAGTGGGGCTGCTGCTCACCAGCTCTGGGGCTTCGAGCAGGGCATGGTGCCACGCCTCTCAGAACTCCATTTTCTCATCTGTGCAGCAGAGAACCCCCAACTCCAGAGGGCTGGTTTGAGGGTTAAATGAGCGAAAGCTCGTGAATGTATGAGGAATCATCATTATTGCAATAGGCATGATTGACATTTTTCTCACTAGAGCGTGCGTTACAGGGGCAGGGGTTGTGCCTGACACTGGTAGGTGCTCATTTGGTTTGTGGAGTGAATAAATGAGTGCAGAGGGAGCCGTTCTCTCAGCCTGTGCTGGAGGCTTCTTGGGACTTTGTTCAGCATGTGTGTGTGCTCACGTATGTGTGTATGCGCCCATGTGTGTAGGCATGTATGTGCATGTGTTTGTAGGCATGTATGTGTGTGTGCATATGTGTGTAGGCATGTATGTGAATGTGTGCATGTAGCCATGTATCGTGTGTGTGCAGATGTGTGTGTAGGCATGTGCGTGTGTGCAGGCATGTATATGTGTGTGCGGGCATGTATGTATGTGTGCAGGCACGTGTGTGTGTGCAGGCATGTATGTGTGTGCAGGTGTGTGTCTGTGTGTGTGCAGGTGTGTGTGCGCAGGTGTGTGTGCACAGGTGTATGTGTGCAGGTGTGTGTCTGTGTGTGTGCAGGCATGTATGTGTGTGCACAGGTGTGTATGTGCAGGCATGTATGTGTATGTGTGGGCATGTATGTATGTATGCAGGCGTGTGTGTGTGTGCAGGCGTGTGTGTGTGCAGGCATGTATGTGTGTGCACAGGTGTGTGTGTGTGCAGGCATGTATGTGTGTGTGCAGGTGTGTGTGTGTATGTGTGTGCACACAGGTGTGTGTGTGTGTAGGCATGTAAGTGTAGGAGTGTGTGTGCATGCATCCACATGCCTGCACACTCCTGAATGCAGGTCTGGCCCCAGTGTGGAAATGTGGGTCTGTGCATGGCCTCTCTGGGTCTGTGTTTTGCATACGGGTCTGGCATGTGGCCATTTGCATGTACGTCTCAGTCTGTGAGCCTATAGCTCTGAGTGTGCTCACCCCACAGGTGTCCAGGCCTGGTCTGGAGTGAGGGTGTCTGATGATTTGTGTATGGGGGTTATGGGAGGTTGCCTCCTGCTCTCCTGACTCCCTCTCCCCAACCAGGACTCCAAGTTGTGAGCCCACCTGGGAGTGCCAGACTATGCAAAACAGAGGCCAGGCCCAGGGAAGCCCCTGCAGAGTGGCCCCTGGGGACTTCCAGGTCCCTTCTCCTTGGGTGCCCCTCCCCTCGGTAAAGCCTTCTGCCCCCTCCAAAGTCCCAGGACTCTCCACTCAGGGGCTTCCTCTCACATCTGGGGGCCGCACACAGTGCTCAGATTTCCCTGCCTGCCCTCCCTCCCACCACGGCTTTCAGCCCCTCTCGCAACGCCGGGTCTGGCGTCTCCCTCCTTCCTTTCTGAGGCCCCCCGCTTCACTTCTGCACAGTTCCCCGAGCTGCTTTTGTGAGCTCCACTGTGTGCCAGGTGCTGGGCCCTGGCCACTCCCCTGCATCGTGGTTACCACTGAAAGAGCTGCTGGCAGGAGCCCCATTTTACCAATGAGGAAACTGAAGCTCAGAGAAGTTAAGGAACTTGTCCAAAGTCACACAGCAAGTGAGTGAGAATCAGACACAAACAAGACTCCAAATCCAGGTCTCTTTCCCATACAGCCACACCACTACCATGCTTCAAGTCACATCAATGGCCAAGCCTCCCTGGGAGAACAGTGTAAACCCCTTCCCCAGGTGGACCCCAGGGGTTCAGGCACCTCCCATATCCATGGCTCATAGGATGAAAGCTCCTGGCTCTGGAAAAGGCCTCCTGGCCTCCTCATGGAGGAACTCAGGCTCACCCTCTGCTCCTGGGCTGAGCCACATTTGGGCCTGGAAACCTCCAAGCCTACCCCAGTTGGGCCAACTTGAAGCCCCCAGGTCTTCCCAATGCCACATAACATTTGCCTGGTGGGCCCCATGGAGAGATCAGAATCCCCTTCCGCAGGGTCATTACTGTTTCCCCAGAACACGCTTCCATTTGGCAAGGACATGTGTGTTGGGGGAGCCATGTGGCTTTGATTTAAATTTCACCCTGGAAAAACAATGGTTTGGATTAAGGGAAGAAACAGTTGGTGAAATGTCATGGAAAGAAAGGAGGGGAGGACGGGGAATCTTTGTGGCAAAAGCAGGCCCCAAACTTTCAAACCCACATTCCAGAGGTTTCTCAAGGCCTGCCATACAGACCTGACCTCCTACCCCAGCGCGCTCCTGTCCTCTTCAGTAGCAGTGAGGTTTCCTCAGGAGATATCCCACTGGTTGTGCTCCCTCCTCTTACAGAAGCTGAAACAGAGGCTCAGGGAAGGCTGGCGACCTGCCCAGGATTATGATGAGTTCTGGTGGCTCATGGAGCTCAAAGGAGGCTAGGGGTGGGGTGAGAAGAGAGACACGAGGCCCTGCTTCCCCCCACTCTGTTGGCACGGGGCTTGACCTCTCTAGGCCTCAGTTTCCCCAATGAGAAAGGAAAGAAAAGGGAATTACAGTATTTCCAATCTCCACTGGAACTGAGCGAAGCCCAGGAGCCCTGTGGCAGGCTGGTGTGCTCGGCTCTGACTTCCTGACCCTTTACTTATGCTGGGCTTGGCGCCGAGAGCGTCCCACACATGGCCTGCACTGAGTTCCCAACACCCACAGTCCCCACCCCATAGACAGCTGACTGAGGCTCCGAGAGGCTAGGAACTTACGAGGCCCCTTGGCTAGGATGCGGCCCCAGGGACTGTTTCTAACCACTGGGCGGTGAGGCTGAGGCTGGGATAAGAGTGGAGAGGATTTCGCCCAGGGCAGTGAGAGCCAGGAACAACCTGAAGTCCACACCCCCAGGAGCACCTCACAGTTTCTAGGTCACCAGCTCTGAGCCAGGAAGGCTGTCAGTGTCATCCATTCATTCAGAGGCGGGAGCTGAGGCCAAGGCAGGG